TTTATATTGCAGATTTCAATATACATCTCAGAGGATCAGAGCAAGTATAAATATCTATACCAATTTAAAAATGTACCATTTTTAGAACCTGTCATATATTTTCTGGTAAGGCATGCTATTCATCATCTTCTGAGGACCATTTTTCTTAGAAATATGTAAAAGCATATATACAGCTAATGTACAGGATCCCAAAAGCTGTAGCTGGAAACATAAATTAAGCCCAAAGTGCTCAATTTTAAATGTACCTTGCTTTTCTGCAGCACTTGGCTGTCTGGATCTCAGAGTGCTTTCACATTTGAATGAGATGAGTTTCACAAAGTTCCAAAGAAGGTTATAGCTATTATTTGGTTTATGTCTATTATTTCATAGCATCATCCTCCAGAGAAAATACTGGTATTAAGATTATTACCCACCTTGCTTCTGAAGCCCAAACAGAAAATCTGGTTATGTGTCTAAGGTCATTTAAAAGTGTGTTCTTTCTTCCCCCACCTACTTACCTTCTGTAACTTCTAATACCGAAAAAGAGCAGCAGAACGACATTAGTATCATAATTTTTGGTGCACAGAGATTTTGGCAGTTCTTGATCTCTCTTAATGAGTCTTTAGGTATTCTGAGAACCACACCCAGGTAACGTGTGCTGGGGAATTACTCAGTTGTAGGGTATTACCTTGGTGTGCTGTCACTTGGCTGCTCTCATTTCCAGTTGCTCATCAGCAGTGACCTGTCTGCAGTTGCAGCTGAGCTGGCTTTAAAAGTTCTATCAATAACAGTAAGCAGAAACACATGAAAGGAAGTATAAATTATTGGTAATGGTGGTGCTCAGGAGTGCTAAACTTTTAGCTCATTTTCCTAAACAGTTAAATATTGCCACTTCCATAAGCTAAAAAAAGTAGGAAACCTCACCTAGTCCAAAACATCTCACTTTTTCTTTCATAAAAGCATTTGTTTACTTTTTTTATCCCCCATTTTGTGTGCCATAAAGGTCATCCGTGTTAAGTTTGTTGAGATCCTCAGCAGCCAAAATGTATTAGAGCTGCCACTAAGTTGATTAAATTGACTAAAAACATGTCAGAAATGGCTGGTAGGCCACTACCTCTGGGTTATTTTATGCTATGCTACGGTTTTTAAATAGTTAAGAAAAGCAATTAGCATCAAGCAAGCATACAATACCATTTTGTTCTGTAATTCTACCTGTCACTTTTTTATTTCCCATTTCATTCTCATCTTTCTTCATAATTGGATGCAAAAATACTAAGCTGTAACTACTTGTGCAAAGAAAGATGAGAGGCAGACCCTGAACAGATCAGCGTGTATGTTAGAAGCTGTGCATTATGAAAATCCAAAACCAGTTGGAAAGTGATGATTCAACCAATAATATTCAGTGTGATAAATGTCACAAACTGAGGAGCCAGAAAGCTGAGTTGTGTGGCTGAACTGCTCTGATAGTCACTGTTTTTCACAGACCAGTGCTTGCACATCTGTACTGGGAAGTGTCTGCTGAGGAAACAGCACCAGCCATAAAATACCCAGCAATGTCCCATCTGTAACAATGAAGATTTGAAGACAAGGACGCCCGGTCGTGCATTTAATTCTTTTGCTTTATTAAGAACTTGAACAGAAACAAAAAGCAGGTGAACAGGGCAACTGATGTAACATCTCCTTTGGCAGAGATGGTGCTCCAGCAGTGTTGCTTCTGCTCAGCCCTCCCCTGCACTCACTGAGATGTCACTGTAGCTGGTGGTATTCAGGGATGGAGGCCAACAGGGAAGTCGTTATTGCATCCAGAGAAAATAAATGTATGTGTCCTGTTACACAAGTTAAAGAGTCTCAGTTCCACCATGTTCCTTCAGGTGCTGCTTGGCAATAGGTGCTATGTTTGGCACCACAAAGTCCATTGATTTTGGTGGAATAGCTGCTCTGAAAGATCTAACAAAATCAGAAGTGTTTGAGTTGAATCGATGGGATTTTGCACCCTCTCCCCCTTGTTCAGTGTGACACTTGGGAGTTTCTTTCTGCATTTTCCATGACACCAGACTTCATGTTGCTTTTTCTTTCTGACTTGCAATATCTCTGGATCATTTCTGCTTTACTTAGAGCACTGCATTTGTTCTTTCCCATTTATCCTTAAACTTCACCTCTGCCAGAGAACTTCATGGGACTGAAGGAGGAGATGCTTTCCCACCGTCAGGGTGGAAAGTGGTTTATCCCAACTCCATCTTTGCCTTCTCACAAACGTCTCTTCTGGGGTTTAAAGCAGTATCCACATGATAAGTCTGCGCTTTGGGTGATAAGATTTCCTTCACTGTCTTTTCTTGCATTTTGAAATGTTTAAAGGAATTAAAAAAAAATAATAAAAATAGCCAGTAATTTATGCCTACATCCAGATAGTCTGACTCTACAATTGCTCATGTATTTTTTGGAGGTGACTCACTTCTAGCATTTCTTTGACCCCTTAGCCAGAAGTCTAATAAAGGAGGGACAGACTGACATAGCCGTAGGCACAGCTCAAGGTCAGTGTAATTAATATTATTTCATATGCAGCTTTTAATTTGAAGAACTTGAGGGGTAGAATCCCAGTTTATCCAAAGCACTCAAGTGTATGAAGTCAGGAGGCAGCTGCCAGAGTTAAGGTTAAGAATGCACTTTAGTGTTTTTCTGAACTGGGGAACACTCTTTTCCCCTATTAATATAATGTTTTGCACAACCCAAACATGTAGGTCAAGAGGCCAGAAAATTAGCACCAGTTATAACACTCTTGTAAAGGCGGGGGGCGGGTGAAAACAAAACCTAAAACCATTCATAGGTTTTAAATGGTTTCCCTTCCCTCCATTCATGCAGTGATACAGAACAGCTGGTCATGAAACCTGGCTGCGTATTTGTTAAACGGGAACAGATTACTAAATCAAATTTGTTGACCAATTTTCAAGTATGTGGCCTTGAGATATTAAAAAAAAAAAAAAAAAAAAAAAAAGGTTTGCATTGCCCCAAAAAGAGAAGGGGGTAACAGGCCAGTGATATGAACATTTCATGCTGGTGGGATTTGGCAGGGGGGGAGGGAATCTAATCGCTAACTTTCGCGTGAGTACCCAGCTAAAACCTCAGGGAATTTTATACAGTGCATGTTGTCAGTATTTTAATCATCCACAGCTGTCAAAACTCTTGTAACCCGCCTCTTCTATTTAAAATGTGTCTTCTAGGCATAAAATAATTAAAGGTGCAGGACCATAAGGTAGGCTCAGAGCCGCTGCAATGTGACAAAACTCCACATATGAAAGGCATTATTTCAGGAAGTTTTAAATATAAATTTTGTTTTGTCAGAAGGCTGCAGGGCACACATTTTCTATACTGTCAAGCTTGATAGTAACAATATTTATATTTCAAATAAAAAGATTAAATTGCAGTCTTATGTGTTTCTGGTTTTCACATAGTTTTTACCAGTGTATCATAGTGTTCCATATCAGTGTGTCATCGAAACTTTTTTTTTTGCTGACACCAGTTTTGCTTTATTGTAATATTAAGTCTTGTACTGTCAGTCCCTGAATTGAAATAATGAGGGCAGACAGTAGTTTAGTTGACTAGCCTGTATCTTCCCTTTCCTCACCCACCCTAAAAAAAACCTGAAAACAACACAAATTAAAAATTAATTTATTGAAAAAGGCAATAGTAAAGAGGGAGGTTTGGAGCCTAGCAATATAAAATAGCTTTGTGTGTGTGCTTGTGCAAGCTTGTGTTTGCTGTGTGTCCTCCTGATGTCCAAGAGCCCACCTTGCAGACTGGCCTTCATGTGCCCACCAAATGCCTGTGTACTTCACAAAAGGATTAAAGCTTCGTGGGAGAATACAGATGGGAGAGGAGGGGAGGGCAGCGTAATTTCTGAATATTTTTATCTTTATTTGTTTGTTTTTAATATTAAAAGGACTAACTAATTAAAAGAATGAGTGTCTTGGCCGTTTTGAGCTGTCTGGTTGGCAAGGCTTTTGTGCCACTGCTTGTTAGCTGTTAGTTTTGAACTTTCAGCCAGTGCCCATGGGCCCCTCGTTCTTCATTGTTCAGAGCTTGGAGTCCCATGAGCTTGAGTCCCAGGGTTGGGCTGGTGCTGTCTGTGCAGCATCAGGGCTTGACAGAACAATGGGGAGAAATCTGAAGAGGGCTCATGTTGGAACTGCCAATTGGAGTCACTGACCCAGCCAGCTGGGGCTGGGTCTGCTCCTTTTGGGTCGAAATGTGAATATTTCATCACAATCCTTCTGTGGCAGTTTGGAACTGTCAGAGACTTTCCCTGCTGATTCCCTGGGTTCTACCTCTGTGTGATGGTGAGGATTTTTCTCCCAGTGTCAGACAGCGCTGGTTGGTGTCTAACAGCTTCTCTGACCATGGTGTGTTTGATGAACTGGGTTAGTCAGAAAAATTATTCAAAATTTGAGTGTTACAGAAACTCCTCCAGAATTGCTATCAGCTTAGGTGTGATATGGGCTTGATTCTTCTCTTTGTCTTGCTGCTCACTGGCACTTCTGTCACTTTAAGCCTTTAGTCTGCCATTTGGCCAGTCATGATTTTCTAATAATAAGATTTTTTACAATAGGAAGGTTTTTGAGTTTGGGTTTCTTTTAATTGCTACTGGTGTACCTCAACAAATATATCTTGTTTCCTTCCATAACCAGCCAAGAACTTTCTAGTCCAATGTAGAAATTAGTTAGAAAGATTCATGGATTGTATAAAGTATATGAGGTTAACATGTCAGTGGAAAGATTGTGTTCACTATAGAACAGACTTGCCTTTTCCATGCATACATCCATGTCTCTGCACACCAAGCTCCTAAATGCTTTGCAAAAGAGCCTGCAGGGTTAATCAAAATGGGAACAATTGGGGGAGATATTTAAAAGTAAAGTTGTGTACAAATGGAAGACTTTTGCACGTAACAGGGGACAACAGGTGGCATTACCCATTCTGTACTCACAGTCTGATCTCGGTTAACATCCCCAACTGCATTTTTTTTCCAGTTGGAACTGATGGATATACAAATCAGGCTATAGCAGCACACACATCTCAGATGAGGGAGCCCTATTCCGATGGAAACATCTGGTTTCATTACACCAGGTAACACCTGCATAAAATTACATCTGTGTGGAAAGTCCTTTAACAGAATTTAGTAATTAAAGTGAGGCAATCTAATCAAAGAAAGGCATGGAGAAGGTGATACATGAAGTTTTGTTCTCTGCCGTGTAAATAAACTGCATTAGTATATTGGGTCTCGAAAGAAACAGTTAACATCAACAGCTTGCAATTGAACAGATTTCATGTTAAAAACAGCCTTCCATACTATATCCCCAATATATATTCTGATCTTCCAAACAGATCTCCAGGGTGCTGTTTGGATTTATTGCTCTTAATAGCATATTGTTTGGATGTACAATGTGTGGGTCCGGCTGAGTTTTACTAGGGTATTCTGTGGCTCAATTTCCTTTCAGTATGTGACTGTGTCCTTTTCAAATTTTGCTTTAAAGCCCTGTGCAGTCTTTGTTCTATGCCTTATCTACTGGTTTTTAAAAGGTCAAGGCTAACCTTGACCTGAGCATCAGCAAGGAGCTCCCTCAGTGCAGGCCACAGAGCCTGGGGGCTCTGTGCTGGGGGGTTTCTCTGTGTTTTGTCTCTGTGCACTGTGCTGTGTCTGAGCCTGGAACCAGCTCAAAGTGGAGTTTCTGGAATTGATTCTTGGTTCTCTTGTTGATTCTCAGGAAAGGAGATGGTTTCTCTGGCTTGGAGTAGGTTCTGTGTTAGCCCTACATAGTGTACAGGCACTTCTGGCTTTGTTTGCATGAGATTTTACCATCTGGCAGTGTCACCTGGAAGGCATAAATAAAGCCATTGTTTCACGGGTTCTATCAGGGGCTGCATATATTTTTCTTGTCAGAAAGTATAGAATAACAGATCCAGCAGAAATCACAAAAAAAATTGCTGCTACCGTTAGAAACCAATAACAGACAGCAAGGTTAACACTCCCAGCTTTAGGATGAGTTCCAGCAATTCTTCATGGAGCTGACTGACATTTTTTCCCCATACTGTTTTTTCTCTGAAAGCTGACTTTTTGGCCAGAGTAAAAAAAAAAAAAAAGAAAAAAAAATTACATGCAAAATTTTCATCTTGATAATAAATGCCCTTGCCAAAATTAATAAGTTTTCCAGACCTTCCCTGGAGAAAGAATAGTCCTTGGAGCAAAGCTGGAAGTCAAGGACTTGTCTTGGAAACTGGCCTTTTTGGTAGAGTGTTTCCCTGCCTACTTTTGAAACAGCACACTGCTAATCACCTGACCTTTGAACAAATGCAGCTGATTTGCTCGGGCTCTTTCATCCACGTTAATCCAGATGTGCCTTGTAAAGCCATGTTCCTCCTGTTGATCGATTGGTGTTCTCAGAATCCCTTTCTGTGCACGTGCCCTCGAGGGTGGGCCACGGAGCAGTGCAGGATTTGGGTGAGCTGGGAGGGAGAGAGAAACTTGGGAGCCGAAAGGTCACCTTGTCAGAAGAAGTATCCAGTTTGAAAGGGGAATGTTTTACACTGGTTGCCTGTGCTGGTTGCTGCTGCTGCTCCCTTTTGCTGCAAGCTGAGGACCAAACACATCTTTTCCTGTAAGCTGGGGACGTCTTTTCCTAGAGGTGGGGACTAGAGCCAGGAGCAATGTACGATGTCTCTCTTGCACAAGTGCTTTCAACGCGAGGCCATTTAGTGCTTCAGTCCCAGAGTCAAACGAGTGCGTGGAATTGTGGCCCCACAAAAATACCCCACAAAAATCTTTCCCTCCTTCTCCAGCATCTGTAAATACAGTTGAGATATTGTTCGCTTGCTGTTTACAAAGGCCAAAAAAAAAAAAAAAGATAAGAAAAACAAAGGAGGCAGTAGCAGTAAACTTTCTGCAGAGCTTTAGCCTACCAAAGATTTAAAGGATTGACATTTGCATTACATTTTTCCCCCACCCAGTCCTCCTCATTAGCTGGATATCTTTATTCTCTAAATATTTACCACCTAAACCAAATTTACAGTTTAATTTGGTGCATAAAATCATTTATTGACTGATAAAGCTCATTACTAAGGCCTAGCCCAAGCTGTAGCCTGCCATGACAGTTTTAATTCTTGTAGCAGCAGGCTACTGCAAGAGAAAAACAATCCTGTCACGTTAACGGCAGGGGTCTAAATTATTCAAATACACTAAATCCTCCCAGAACAGTTCCCCTGCTCATAATTTGTCTTTTCTTGCCCACAATTAACTAGCAATATTCAAAGTTAACAATGCCAACTCTTTTGAAATCTCCAGGAAAATGGAAATATATACATACAGCAAATGTTTTTAGAGAGGAATACATTAAAAGACCAATGCTGGGAGACTTCTAGGGAATGTAATCAGTTAAATGGACCCACTGCTTTCTCTGGTTAGAGAAGAAATTTGCTGGATATTTGTGTGTGTACAGATGGATTTGATGCTGAGTTCTGGTGGCAGGTGGCATAGATTCATGGCTACTTACTCCTGCCAATGGCCTCTTCCATGGCACTCCTGATAGCAGATGTTCGTCAGTTCTGTTGAACTCAGAGCATGAGTTTCCTCTTCCATCTCCTCTCTTCTAACAGAGTTTTTGCTGTCTTCATGATTATGAGTTATTGTAAGTAATTGCAGTAGTAACTGTAACGTGCTGGGGCAAAACCATGTAATTTGCTATGAGAACAGTGAAGACTGAGAGATGCAAGTGGAGATTGCTGGGGCAGGTCATCTTGCAGAAGCTGAAGGTCTGAATCTGTCCCAGGTGAGACCCTCAGAGCTTTCTTCCCAAGTGAGCCCACTGAATTTAGGCTGGCAGGTGGTCTTTATACAAATCTCCAGTTAGAGCAATTTACAAAGTCAAGACAAACTGAGGCTGTTCTGATCTGCTTTTATTGTTGAACCCCGTCCAGTTTGGTTTCAGTCCTCTGCGTATTGCAGAATAGGGACTTGATGTTTTCATAATTTGTGCTTTCTTACCAGCTCTGTTAGGTGATGGACCCTCTCCTGCATCCACAAATAGCCACTGAACAAAGAGGGGTGTGAGATCACTCCAGTGATGATGAGGAGGAACTATAATTGCCTGTAAGGGACAAACAGTTTCATTCCACAGAGGGCAATCCAATTCAGGTTTGTCCTTCCATGTGTGTGACAACCACAGCCCATATATCACAGTCAGTGATGGGCAATAATAAAGTCTTTAGCATTCAGGTGTCTCATATAAATATTGCTTCTGCATAGCACTTTACACTCTTTCAGACCTGTAAGTCCATATTTCCCTCGTCCCATTCATTTTCTCCCTTCAGTTTCTGTGGCAGTTCCAGTGCAGAATAGCTTCTTGTGCAGGCCTTCAAAGTGAAAATGATGGCTCCAATTTGTGACCAAATAGCTTTGACATTGTCTGTACGTTTGCTTGAGTTTATAAAAGACTTTGGTTTTCTTATTTAATCCTTTGATGTCAGAGCAGTCTGAAAAATCAGTAATTCTTTCTGGTGTGCCCTTAGTGACAATTTTAACTCTCCCATGAAATTCTCAGTTTTTAAACTCATAATGTGTCTTTTATCCCTTCCGATAGCACACAGAGCGCTTTAATGCTGTGAAATCTTAGATCTCTGAAAAAGTGCAGAAAGATAGGATGAAGTTAAAATATATGAAAAGAATATGGGAGATTGTGCGTTATTTGCTACTCATCTCTATCAGCATTTCACAAGATGTGGGCCATAGTTCCTCTGGTGATAATCTGCAAAATGACTGAAATTCCCCTTTATTTCCATTTCCTTCTAAAGGTATCTGTGTTTCTAGTCCAGTCCCTGGGTGGTAGTTGAGTGGGCAGTAGCAGCTGCTGGATTGATATGTCTTTATTTGATCTGATATCTATAGATATCAGCCTGTACGTGCTGCAGGAACAGAGGGTACTATAGAAGGTTATGTATATGCTTTCTGAGTAGCCACAATCTTTCCTATTCATACACCCATAACAGTGGAACTGGACTTTGGCTCTAAAAGCATGTGCTCTACTGCTGAAGATAAAAGGGAATTATCAGTAGGAGTGAGGCTCCTACCCAGTGGGGATTGGCAACGCTAGGACTTGATCTCTGTGATATGTTCTTGTGTGTGTGCTCTGCCTACGTGCTGGGATTCAGCCTGGTGCCTGAGAGCAGTGAAGGTGACTGCTCATGGTGCTGCTTTGCCTCTGAAGCCATGGGCAGAGTTAGATGTGCATTTGTACTACACGTTTCTTCCACACTTCCAGTGTCCTCTTCTGTTCTGCTGGCATGCAGCCATTGCAGCTAAAGCCCTCCTTTGTTGTTTGAACGCAACTGTTATGGATAATCCACAGCAAACTGGTTTTTTTCTTTTATAATGAAGATAATTTTAAAGCACCACCTTTCTCTCATAGGAGTTATCCATGTTCTTGGAAGATTACTTAACACCCTCATCTGTTTACATTATTTATGTGCCGTCTTTTTGATGGGTTTCCCATTTCATCTTTCTGGAATACATGTGGTGGCATCTATTTGTTCTTTAATAGTTTTATGGTAAAGAATAAGTAGACCTTAGGCATCTCTGAAACCAGGTACCTTGTTCCACCTGTCTTGATTCAAGTTTTATCAGAGGCCATTGTATGCAGGATTTCTGAGGTAGCCTTCTGGCTGAGAGTACTCCGGGATGGCTTGCAGATAGAGCCTACTTCAGATTTCCCACCTCCTTAATTCCTCTTTCTGTAGAATCTCAATCATTGCATTTCTTTCTGCTTCTACTATGTCAGACCCCAGGGCAGTCACCAGAGTGTTTAGTTTGTCCCTGGATGAAGAGAAGCATCTGTATCACTGCATCTGAGCACTTCACCTGTGCTGTGTCACCGGCCTCCGCCGTGTTTGGAATCGATGGATCGGATGCTCCCTGGCGCGGATCAATGGGACCGCAGCGGGCTCAGTAGAGCTGTGCTGATTTGCACTGCCTTGAGACCTGGTGATGCAATCCCAGATCAGTCATTCTGAGCTCCCTTTGACCATCTGCCCCTGGTTGTTGTAGGCTGGAACGAAGCCGTGGGGAACTTGACCTGCGCTTGTTTATTCCAAACGTGCCCACAACTGCAATAAAACCTCGCTGCTCCGAACACGCTGTTCCAGCTCCTCTGTGTGTCTGAGGCTTGGAGACTGAAGCTGGTTAATTGTGGCAAATGTGGTTTTCTGGGACATCTAAGGGTTATGTCACTTTTCTAAAAATCTCTTTGATCTCGAATCAAAAGAAGGGGGTGGGTTTGTAACGTCATCTTAACTGTGTGGCTTTTACAAATTAAAAACCTACTTGAAATTGGTTATACAATATGCGCTTGTGTTTCTCTGATGAGACCACCTTTGACTCTAAGCTGCTTTTTCTAGCAGATCATCAGGAAAACTCTGGTAATGAACAGTTAGGAGAAGCTAGAGGGAGCTTTTGAAATAAGAACTGTGCGTTTCTCTGTATTTTGCGAGCCAAGGCTTTAATTTACAATGAGCACAATAAGGGCAGAAATGAAGCTGCTAGTGTGCCATCTCATGTCAGTAAGCAAAGTAGTAGAAAGAAATACATATTTATTCTGTCCTTGTCACTAAAATCATCACAGTTGTAAGTAATTAGTATCTAGAGTCTGAATCATATCCCACTGATTTGGCCAGAATCTTGGAAATTACTGACTTTTGATTAAACTGCCTGTGTCTTATTACCTTGCAGCTCTATAAGCATTTATAGAATCTCAGGACTTTTTTCTCAGTTGTTTGCACCTTACACACTCATTTCTCTGTGCTGTGAGCTGGGGCTGTGTGTTTGAGAAGGGCTTTAAATTAATGGAGCTTTTCTTATAGATCTGACAGACTTAACTACAGCAAATCCAAGCCTACTGAATACTGCTCTTGCCATATTTCTGTGTATATTCTTTTGGAGTAGTCTGTGGACTTCAAAATATCTCTGAAATAAAAGTGGAAAACTACTTGTATAATTTATGCAATGGATTTTGCATTTTGTTTACTAACGGGTGAAATGTCTAAAATGGTTTTGTCTTTATCCAGTTTGAAAATCGGCTTTTGGATCTCTAGTACCTGATAAAACTGGCACAGATAGAGCCTATGTTGCCCAAATTATGCTTTTGCTGTCATAATTTTGTGGTAGAAAAGACACTGATGAATTCCTGTTTTCTAGAAAAAAGTGTTGGATGTTTCAAGTATTTGGCTAAATCTATCAGAGTTTTGAAAAAGAAGAAAAATAAGCTTTCCTTGAACAGTAATACTTATTACTGCCTCTATTGTCTGGATTAAACCAAAGCAAAAACATTGGTGGTACCCAGCTTTCTGTAATACTTTTTTTTTTGTGAAAGAAATGTCTAATTGTGTTTATTCAAATGATAGTATGCTAGTCTGTTCTAAGCATAACTGATCATCATCGTTTGTGGGTAAGCTACTTGCCAAAATACCTGCAAGACATTAAAATATCATAACCTTATTTTATTTGGTTTCCTTGTAGGTGCTCTATCCACAACCACTGTATATATTTAATTTATCTTAGTACATATACATGACAGAAAGATTGCCATTTTTCAAAGCAACCAGTTCTTTGGTACAACCAGTTTTTTGAGGGATAACTAAAAACAATTCTAAGGGACTCTATTTTCCATGAGACAAACTCCTCCAACTTCTGAAAAAAAATCCATCTCTTCATCAGGACTCTGGATTAGCCACCCAGAATGACTAGTCGGTAATGGCAGATTTAAGCAGCTGGATTAAAAAAACAAAAGTTCAGAAACCAGTGGCAACCAGTATTCTTCTGGGCTCTTTGGCAAATGTGAGTGTTTGTTTTAATAGCTAAGCAGGAACCGTTTTGAACATCTGCCTGGTACTTTGCTCCATTTGCTAATGTGGGAAAGTAGAAGACCTGGCTCTGCACCACTCCTAATGCCAAAAACCTCCTGATCTTCCACTGCTTGGGAGCTGTAGGCACAAAGTGGTGTTGAGATAAATGCCCCAGAGCAACTGCCATGATCTCATTTTGTCTCTATTTGTATGACATACACTTGTTGGCTCCTGAAACCCTATTTGACTCAAGGCTACTGTATACATCTCATTTCTTTTATCTGAGCTTTTAAAAGGCTCATCTGATAAGGTCTGAGTAGCTTATGTGCACAGCTACTTTACTAGACCTAAAGCTTAATTCTCTCTGTCCTAAATGGAACTTTTCTGCCGTTTCGTTCAAAAGCTACTTTGTGAGGAAGTTGTTCTTCTGTTCCTATTATTAAATACATGTGATTCTTTGGGGGCACATCACAGAGATTTGAGTTTTTCTTGTGTTGAATTCTGCTCTTGGATACAAATGTACAATTCCCAGAGTGATCTGCAGAGAATTAATCTGTCATTAGCAATATTGGGTGTAGTGCGTCTAATTCCCATGCACCACCCTGAAAATTTCCACCACCCCCACAAATGGAAAAGAAAAAGAGGACTATTCCACTTATTCTTTTTTATATGTAAATGAGACTTAAAATAATTGTTTGATAATGACATGGGGTTTTTTGTTGTTGTTTGGAAATATCTCTTGACAATAATTTATCCTGCAATTATTGTTGCTTAGTCCTATCCTTATAATTAAGGCCAAGAAAGTGTTGTTCATCACCTCATTAAATGCTTTCTCTTTCAGGATGCCTGACTCCCTTTAACACAGCCAAGAGCTGATAAAGCCACTTGTATGCAGAGCTGGCTGCCTGCAGATCTTTGATCTTTTTTTCCCCCCTTCTTCAAGAATATGACTTTGTGAAGTAGTTGGTGCTGCAGTTTCAGTTTGTTGTTTTAAACAGTTCAGTTGCTATAAATACTCATTCACTTTGATTTTCAATTGCCCTTGTAAGACAATTGTTTTTTTGTTGCATTCCCACTGAATAGATAGCCTGCCTGCCGTTTCCTTTTTTTAAGTGTGATTAAAATATAACCCTCTTTTTAAGCTTTTCCACAGCTCACTTCTTCCTGAAAAGGGGAAATTTCAGCCCCAACCACTGCTAATGACTGAAGAATTCTTTGCACTTGTGTTACACATTTCCTTTGGTTTTAATGATGGGAAAAGGGGTGAGGGAAATGTCCTGACTGAGGCCGTGCAGGAAATCAGAAACATCTCCTGGACCTTTGTTAGTATTATTTGACAGAAATATCACTTCATTCTGATGTACTTTTCCTCTTTTCTGCGTTTTTTTTGCATTGAAAGTATAGTGGTTCCACAGAATCTATTTCTAGAACCTTTTCTGTTTTCTGAGATATCAATGGCCATGCTCCTGCAGGGATTCATCCCCCTGGGAATACCTTTGTGCACCTTGAATCCTCTGTCATCACTGAGGTGCGGGGTTGTGGAAACCTTAGCCAAGGGTTGAAGAAGAGAAATTTTAGATATTTTTAAAACTCAAGTACCTTAAAGGTCCTTATGACCTTCCATCCCCAAAGGAAGCTCTCAGTTGTGCATCTCATATTGTAATTCACATCTTTCCAAGCTCTATCAGTTATATTTTCAATAGTATTATGCTTTGTGATAAAGGAGTTCTTTGCTCTTTCAGGGATAAAAATGAGGAACAAAGCAACAACCTTCCTGAAACTCTGGAAGAAGGAGAGAATGGTGCATCCTCTTGCTGTTTCCTGCCATGCCTTGCTGTTCCAGGTGTGTTCAGATTTCTTTTGTTTCATTCCTTGCATGGTGATTTTCATTCTGGAGCTCCTTTTTGTCCGTTTCTCCACAGCTTCTCCCAGATGGAGCAAAGACCTTTAGAAGTTTGAGGGACACACAAATGACAGAACCTGAATTAGGAAGAGGCTGCACCTTCCCAGTTGTGCCAACATGCCACTTGTGAACAGAGGCTTTGAACACATGCCACATAAGGTGTGTGTATATATAAATGGGTGTGGGGAACCAAGTACCCTCCTCTGGGACATTTCCACTTCCAGACAGTTTAATAACAGAAGCTGAGATTCCTTCTTACACCTCTGCTCCAGCTTATCCCATGGTAAGATAAAGTAACAGCCAGTGAATTAATAAGCCCCTGGTGCTTCAAATACATTTTTTTATTTGGGAAATGCCTGTGTAGTACACTGGCAATCATTTATTGAGTACTATTCAATGCTTTGTATAACTTTCATCTGCGTCATTAAAATTGCCTATCAATGACAAAGAATACAAAGCCAGCAGCACAGGTTTAGGATCGTGAGTCATCCTTCAGTTTCCAAGGGGCTTGTCACCCACTAAAGTTCACTTTCTGGTTCAGGGATTTTGACAAATTAGGGCTTTATAGCTGGGTGGAGCAGAGGGATTATTTTGGTAGCGATGAGTGCAGGTAGGGAAACTCCTGAAACCAAAAGGAACGGCAGAGATTCCTGTGCTAGGCCACTTAACTGATTAAAATGACCCAATGATTCATTTAAATAAGAGTTTACTTGCTCAGGCTTGAAGTGCCTAGTAGTAGTTGATGTTGACTATTTGTTTAATCTAATATAAGTGACTTTCAGTGTTAGCATGGGCATCTGTGTTTATACCTGAAAGACTGTTGTTTAAAATAAGAGTTTAAATTAAACACCATAACTTTCCTTCTTATGCAGAGGAGTCTTTGCATAAAGAAGATTTGAATGTTTCTTCTGCTTTAATAAAATGCAGACTTGGTGGCAGGGAATAAAATGAGATTGGGGTGAATAGAAGAGAGGCCACTTTTTTTGTGCTGAAGTGCCCTGCCCTCAGCTGCTGTTGATCCCAGGAGAGGTTTGTGTTCACAGCCTCTCGTGATGGTCCTGGTGTGTACTCTGCTGTACAATTAAGAGCGACAACTTCTGCATTCATGCAGCAGTTGAAGGTGTTCAAGGAGGAAAAGTCTACTGGGAATTATTGTTAAATATGAAGTCCCCACTTGGACTTAAGCAGTGTTGGTTCGGTCTCATAGATGTCAGTGATCCACATGATGCCACTGTGCCTATTACAGTATCCTGTGTCCCAGATATTCCCTGAATAATGCCTTAGATTCTCAGGTTATCAGTTATGAGAAATTTCAAAATCTCTCTTAATCAGGATTAGTACAGCTAAGGGCATATTTGCCAAGGTTCTGTTTTGAAGCGAGTTTACAAATATGGCTGAAGGCAAGATTTAGTCTCCATGGCAATCTGTGACTTCCATGGAAAATGCTATGGTGTAAAATGCGTATGGTGTGTACAGACACTGATCTCTTATGAATCAATAGTGTCCCACCAACTTATTTTATTTAAACCATTGAAGGTTAATTAAAGAGGTGAGGCTTTTAGTGTGATCACTGTGGACTGCACTGGAGCTAAAATTCTGGTGGCAAAATTCCTGAGCTAACTGGTTTGCACTTGCAAGTTAAATTTTAAAAAAACATTATGATGATTAATCCTGGCTAATTATTGTTGTCATGAACACTAAACCAAATGTGGGGCCTCCAGACTGTCTCATGTCAGGCTACCTCATTGATTGTTTTGTTCCCTCCTTGAAATATGTTGTTCTGGGAACAGTAGCAGACTATAGCCTTCATGGCATGTCCTCAAGTGCTCCTGGAGTTAAACATCAATTTCTACTTAAATTTAGTGAAAAAAAAAAAAAAAAAAAGAAACAAAAGATCCAAAAAGAGAATAAACATAACCATGTAGGATTCCAAAGTCTGGATCCCATGGTGCTTGTGGCTTATGTAGTTTATGGCTTGTAGCATGCATGGGGGAGGAAAACAGATCATGGGGGAGGAAAACAGGTGAAATACTTCTTCCACCTCTCAGTGCTCAACCAGTATTATCCACGTTCATCCTTCTGCTCTCAGAGCCATATACCTTAATTATATTTCTTCTGTGCAAAGAGAGCTGGGTAAGGCTCAGGCTGAAGTCTGAGTTTGCTGTTCCTGCCTTGGTCAAAGGAGCTGATACTGCAGTGGAGAACAAGCCATTCCTTGAGCTGCAGAGATGTGACCCAAGAGCTCCAGAAAGAACAAATAAGCTTTCCTGTAATGCACGGACATTATCCTAGTGGACTAATTCTCTGTGATGACTTGAGACAATATTCCTTTATCATTTCCCTCTTTGCCTGTCTCCTCCTCTTCCTCCTTCCTTTCTGGATGCCTTCTGACCCTCCCTCTGTAATTATGATGTCATTACATGCATTTGGGGTCAGACATGGCTTCTGCTCAAACTCAGGTCCCTTCCATTTCACTTGTGTCACCAGTGCTGTGTATAGTTGGCCCAGGAACATGATCCTCTACAGCTTCACAACACTGCTGACACGTGTGCCTGAGAGTTTTGCTGTGATTAAAGTTGATTTAAAAATCAGGGAGAGAAGGAGTTGATGCACTATTCCCCCAGCTGTGTCTGGAGCAGGTAGTTCATTCTTGAGAGAGCCTTATGGCTGCAGGAGAGCTGTGTCTCCTGCGGGTGTTGGGTGTTGGTGTTATCAGGAGGGCGAAAATTGTATATTAGGTGGTGGAATTTGGTCTGCAACATGTAGGGGCAGATTGTAAATGTGGCACACCAAGGAGTAGGCCTGTCAGATTTGCATGTCAATATTCCATTGCTTGGGAAATGTGTAGGACATGGATTGAAATACAGCCTTGGGGAAACAGCAGTTTTGTCCAAAGAAAGGAAGAGATATTAATTTCATATAATTGCACAGATCTTTAGGAGGTGCAGCTCTGGAACAGGAGCCAGTGTTTTCTTTGTCAGGTCCTGTCAGTGATGGCAAATCAGTCACAGTGCACAAACTTGAATTTCAGCTGGTAGATCCAGTCTCCATTGCACCTGTGCTGTTCCTTCAGTTCTCTAAATAGAACATGGCATGCTAGGTTTCTGTTTTTAAAGGCAAGCATAAAAGATGGGACACAAGTAAAAAGTAAAATTCAAGTATGAAACCCCAGTTTATAATAATAACTTATATGCATATGCTCTCCAAATTAAACATCTATGTGTCCTCTGGGACACCAGTAAAGTAGGTAAGCAGCAGAGGTATATGCCTGCTAGTTTTCCATTAGGAAAAATGGGTGGAAATTCAACCCTGTTACTTAACAGGGTGGCTGGTGCAACAGGACATCTTTATTAGTCTGCTACAAATGGGAGCAGTGATGGGAACGGGGCAGAAAAATGCATTTCTTTGGCTAAGTGAAGGATGTAACCTCAACTTTCATATATGGATTATTACAGTGAAGCTGTTAGCTATTTGTCATTAACCAAATAGCTATTTAGCTGATCAGGGAAAAATAATTAAATCATCATGGTGTGAAAACATCTGAAAAAAATTATACCTAAAACCTAAAATGTTTTTCTCTAGACAGCAGACGCTAGGCAGGTACTCTTTGGGAAAAGTAAATTTTTTTCTACATGGCTTTCATGAGAAAGTTGTTGTTACCAATTCCTGCTACTCAGCTCTTTCATGGTTAGGACACTTTCCTCCAGACTGAGCAGGGCATCCTTGGAGTGAAGTCTGTGGCTAAATGCCTGGCATTTCCCCTCAGCCCTCTCTGCAATACTGATGGCCATTTGCAGACGTTTGGATCTGCAAATTACCCTCCCTGGGCCCAGGATCTTGACTGGTCAGCGTTAAACCACATTATTTCACCCAAGGGTGGTACTGGGCAGCCCTGAGTGGCCGTGCAGAATGCTCCTGAATTCCCTGCCTTACTCCTCTCATTCCCATGAGCAGCACAGTTGATGCACTGTGAGATACAGGTTGTGTGAGCAGGAAGAGGCACTGGGATATGGCTTTAAGAGAGTCTGTTGTCTTGCAGGGTGTTACCTGTTGCTGCTTAGTAAGTGTTTGTTTCTTTTCGACGCTAATCTCTCACAAAATATTTAACTTGAAAACCTTTGAGGCTTACAGAACAGGGAGAAACTGGCAGAGCCAGCTCAGGGCAGGCTTTGCAGCTGCCCTTTCCTGGGGAGGGGGTGCATGGGAAAAGCATGCTTTTGGGAAGACATGCAACAGCACATCACTTCTCTCTGGAACAACTCCTCTTGCATTCAGAGTCTATTCCAGCTCCATGTGCTAGAGCCTAAAGAGAAGGAGGAAGTCCTATAATTGCTCTTTAACTTTCTTAGCAGTGGGGTTTTTTTTGCGTACCCGGGGTTTTGTGACCTTCCTTTAGGTTCACAGTTGAGTAGGTACATCTTGTCAAACTCAAAGTGGAAGGAGGAACAGAGGATCTGCCCAACTCCCAGGCTGACCCTGCCCATGCCTCATGTCCTCTGCTGTGGCTTCTGCACAGTTCAGCCTCCTCCACCACCAGCTTCATCTTCTCTCCTGTTGCCCTCCTACGTCTTCTCATGTAACAACTTCAAAACCCTCTGCTTGCCTGATTCCTGCCTCTGGCTGTCTTCTCACCGCCTCCTCCGCATCCTTACGTATGATTCAACTATATTTCAGTCCCATGGTCTGGAAAAATGGACAGATGGGGGCACAGAAGAGCCCGTGACGTGGCTCTGCTCTAATCTTCGGTTTTCCCTGTCTTTGCTCCTTTGTTTGTGGTTACCCCTTCCTGTGCTCCTGCGATTTCTAATGCAGATGATAAATTAGGACAGTGGGGACTGTAAAAGATAAGGTAATAACAGAAATGAAATACCAGGCCAGAATTTTAGCTGGAGTAAATCAGCTGCTGATCTAAACCAGCTGGGGATTTGGCCCACTCTAAAGTGAAACTGTAGGATACGAAGAATCCATATAATTATTCCCCAAAGAACACTTTTGTCATGATGCCAGACTGATGTTTCTATTCTTGTTTCTAAAATGATGTATTTTAGAAAGTGATTGTCTCACTATTGCCCACCTGTGGTCGCAATATTGGTTCTTCCAAAAGTGAACATGCCAAGTCCTTCAGGCACTCAGTGGTGCCTCTTAAAATGGCTCCCTTC